AAAAAAAAAGAAGCTCGTCAGCGTGATCAAGAGACCGCATGTAAGCCAGGCTAGCCTGAGCCTGGAGAGATGAGGACAGGTAGAAGTGTGAGGATTTGGAGTCTTTGGGCATAGATTCCCTGGGTGGTGCAAAGGGTTAAAGCACTCAGCTACTCTTCAAAGGTTAGAAGGTCCAAGTCCATACACTGGAATCACTTCTATTATGCTCCTAGGACAAACCCTAGGAGCACTGGAAGCTACTGGATGGTTGTTAACCCAATCTCTGAGAAAGTTTCTTAAAGCCTACATCTCAGCAACCAAGGATCTGGAGATCCACCTTTCTATTTTCACAAGGAGACTTGCTTTTCTCCCTTAAAAAAGCAAATGTCCCTATCAGTCATCTGAGGAACACACAAATTAGGGCACTGAATGCTTATCTTCACTTAAACCTACTTCAAATGTATTACCGTTCTTTAGAGTGAACTACCTTTGCAATACAATCATTTGTTTGTGGGTTTTCCCATTTCAACTCTTTGGACTTTAAAACTATATTTCTCATAGGTAGTACAGTGGTTTTATACGCCCTGAGCTGTTAACTGCAAGTTCAGCCAACCAAGTTTCAAATCTACCAGATGCTCCAGGGCACAAAGATGAGACAGACTACTCCTGACAGACAGGCTCGCAAACTCAAAGGGTCCAGTTCGACTCTGTCTCTATGAGTAGGGAGCTATTTGATGACAGTTTTTTGGAGATTTAAAAAATTATTGTTCTAAGAAATTGGCCCTTTGTTTTTCTCCTGTATCAGGGAGAGATCTTTAACTTGGGAGATAGACACATGTGGCATTGGCTGTTGTTTATGGACTGCTTCAGGGGCAGACTACCTAGTAAGCAAAGTAAGCATAGGGTTACTTATGCTTGCTTAATATCTTTGATGTGGTGAAAAACATGTGAAACCATTCACTTTAGATTGGAAAGTAAGCACAAGAAAGGCTGTGCTTACTTTGATTACTGGATAGTCTTCCTCTCAAGGACTGTAAATGAGAAAAACGGCTTTGATTCTTTAGGAATGTGCTGTGGGTTCGAGAGGCAGGTGCCAGCCATATCTAGAAACAAGATCTTTGATGTGGAAAAAGTTGTGAAATTGTTCACCACAGATTAGTTGGTAAGCGCAGGTCAAAACAGTGCTTACCTTGCTTATTGGATCATCTGACAACTTGAGTGATCTGTTCTCTGTCTACACCTAATTCATAATAAAATGTTTTTTAAAAAATTGTGCTAAATAATTTTCTCCCATCTCATGTCCTTACATTATTCTTGTTAGTTACCATTAAAACAGTTCCAATATACGGTGAGCTCATATACAGCAGAGCAAAACGCTGCTGGTTCTGTGCGCGCTTCATGACCCTTGGTGTGATCAAGTCCGTTGTAGTGACGGCTGAGTGCCTTCCAAACTAAGAGGCTCATCTTCCAGCATTCTGTTGGACAATCGTCTGTTGTGAGACCATAGGGTTTTCATTGGTTAATTTTCAGAAGTAAATCACCAGGCCTTTCTTGTGAGTCTTTCTTGGTATGGAAGCTCAGCTGAAACCTGTCCACCATCACTGACCTCACTGCGATGTGACATACTATGCATAGCGTCCAGTATCAGAGCAAAAGGCAAGTCATCACAGGAGGACAAATTGACAGTAGAATGGGTGACCTTTACATTTTAACCCATTGTGCTGATCACAGGAATATAACTTTACTTTAGAAGAGAAAACCCAGGTGTTTTCCAGGAGCAATGGTATTTTGTCAAGAACACCTGAATGGTTTTCATGTTTGAAATGTGTGTTTTAAACTGCTGGATATATTTGACGAGTACATTCATATTTCAAGTTCAATCATCATTTATACTTGAGTATTTTGGTTCTTCTGAGATTTTGCCATTTTTTAAGTTTTATTCTTTTTTCTGGTTAGTGACTCACCAAAAGGTTTATAGTAATACCAGGCATAAACCAATTTATAAATTTGCCTTTCTAACAAATTAGTATCTTTAGCAGATATTCCTGTAGGCTTTCACACTTATATAATGAAACCAGGTCTTTGAACCGGTTCAGTGCCCTGCTGAGAATTTGCATTTCCACCCCAGATATACTAAACAGAATCTACATTTTAAAAAAGATCCCCAGGTGATTCCTCTGCATGCAAATATGTATTTCATAATACATAAACACACATGTTTAAGCCATGTAAGCGAATGTATTAACTTATAACACTGTTTGATAAGACATGCCTGTCCTGTGTAATGTTAAACCACTACCTCTGATAAACTTAGAATAAAATGAAATAAAATAGGGAAAATGACTACTTTTGTTTGTTTATTTCATCTTTAAAGGCATAATTTGAAAAATAACTCCCTAATTCACATCTTATTCACCCAGTACTTTATTTTAATAATTAGAAATATTAGCAAATAATGACATTAGTAATTGAAATATAAATTTTGATAAGTCCCTGCTTATTTCTCTTATTAAAGTAGCTTCCCGGAAATAGCATAGGAAGTTAATAAATCATTTGATAATTAAATTTGCATTTTCCCCACTAATCCTTGAATGGGAAAACCTGAAATATAATTAATTCAAATACTTTTATACTTGGCTAAAAATTATCAAGGATATAAATTTAAGCATAGTTATGTTACACATAAATGTGATGTACTGTAATATTCAAAATATAATTTGCTAATTTTAATTATTGATTTGCCTTTTAAGTTCATTTTTGCCCCTGAAAACTTAATTGCTGAAATGTTTTACCAGATTTTTCCTACTGAACTAAGAAAAACTTTTTATGAAAAATATAAATGTTCTTATCTAAGAAATCAATCTTAATTATGTTCTCTTTTTTTTTTTTTTTTAGCCTCTTAGCAAATATCCTGCTTTGATCAATGACATTTCCTTCTGGTTGCCCTCTGAGAATTACATGGAGAATGATTTCTATGACTTAGTCCGAACGATTGGAGGAGACTTGGTAGAAAAGGTTGATCTTATCGACAAGTTTGAGCATCCAAAGTAAGTAAAAAGTCTTCTGATTTTCATCTTTATTGTCTCTACATGACAAATGATATATAGAAATGTGGAGAAAAAAAAGAAATGCTTGTAAAGCATTTGCTTGTAAAGCAAAATGGCTTCTGAATTTTACAGAAAACAAAAAGCTTTTTTATATCATTTCTTTCTGAAAATCTTTCCAAAGCGCACTTTCCATCTTTCCTGCTTCAGTAAAGACAATATATAATAACAGAATGTTTTAAAGACCTAGAAGTATATTGTTCATGGAGGTGGTTTATGGTCATATCACATTCCAGGTACAGATGAGGCAGAGAAAGCTGTTTGTGGAAAAAAAAATTGTTTGGTTAGTTTCCTCAGTAAATGTTTATTAAGCATTCGCCGCACAACAACTTCTATATTATAATCTAGGAGTTAATTGTTATCAAAACACAGTTAGCACTACTTTCCTGGAGTTAACAGTCCTGTGGGAGTCGATATTAAGTAAACAATTGCACAATAGTCCAAGTAAATATTATGAAGAAAACAATACTTTAGGCATAAGCAGGAGTTAATTTCACCTGGAGAGTCAGGGAAGCTACCACTTGAACTAGAATTAGAATTATGCAAAGTGGTGAAGAAAGGAAGAAAGAACATTCCAGACCTGAGGGGTGTGGCAAATGTAAAAAACTGAAGGTAACAAAGAGCCTGCATCCTCCAGAAACTAAAAGGTGAAGAGAAATGGGTTTAAGAAAAATGACTTAGGGTTGCAAAGGGGCCCGGCCAAGGGCCAGAACCTGCCAGGACTGAGAATTGTGATTGTATTCTCAATGTGGATGGGAGATGTGGAAGGGTAGGAGCAGGGGAGTTAAGTGGCATCGTCCAGTTCCTTGCTCATCACCTTGCAGTGGTTTCCATGGATGCACAGCTATTACAGAAGGAGCAACCACCACACCTTGTTGAATGCCCATCTCATTTATTTCTCCCTTCCTAATGTTTGTAGTGGTATCTTCTCTGTAGTATCTCCTCTTAGACATTCAAGCTTTGTCCTGTGGTCCATAGCTCTACCTTTTTGCCTGCTTGTTTGTTTTCTTTAAAGTTCTAGTTCTCTAGAAGGAAATACTGTGTTCACTGCTAGTTGATTGCTAGAGTAAATTATCTACTCATTTGTTCAAGTACTTGTGGAAATAACATTCCCTGAGCCCTTGCATGTTCAAAACTATATCTGTTTATACTTGAATATCAGTTTTGTTTAGCATAAAATCTCTGGCTCCCAATTTCTTTCATTGGGGATCTTGTAAGTTTTGCTCAGTTATCTTCTTGAGTTTTAATTTGATACAAAGAAATCTGAGCTATGGTAGGCCTGATCATTTTGCTTTAATTCCTAACGGATTTTTTTTCTTTATCCCTAGAAACTTACAACATAATCAAGATCTGTTTCAGTGTAGACCTTTCCTCCCTGGTATCGGTTGTTATCTTTCACCCTACAGATTTGATCCTGCTTTTCTTGAATTAGATCTTTAAAGATTTGTTTTCATCTATTCCTCTACTCTACTTCATTTGTCAGGGCTCCCAAGTATGCATGAGTAATCTCTCCTTCGTCAAATTTATAGTTTTCTCTCTAATACTTCAAACCTCATTAATTCCATGTCCCTTTATCTGCTCTCCTAAGTTCTAATCTCCTCCGTCTCTTACTCTTTTTGGTCATCTATCCTTCCTTCTGTTGCCTCTCCTTACATCTCCAGCTGTTTGTGTTTTCTCCTTGTCTGAGTTCTTTCCACTCACATTTTATTCCCCCCCATTTGCTCATTCTTGCTTCCCTGGGATCTTATTTCCACTTCTTGCTCCTCCTTTCTAGAAGTATTGCTTCATTAATTTAAAAATTGATAATATATTTGTCCAGGAACTTTACACACTGATAGCAGCATATTTCTATTGTCTCTTAGTGTGCTTTTCTGTCATTTTCTCCATTTTTTAAATTATTTGCTTTAATTGATCCATCAAATGGTGTGCTCATATTTGGATGAATGTGATTTCCTGTGTCAGCATTCTCCATGAAGTTAGTTTGTTTTCTCAACTGAAGCTTGACTTCCCACCCCAATTATATACAGGTTAACACTTAATGATGATAACAGATTTAATACTTGCGATTGTAACTCTTTGTTCTGGAATATATATATATATATGTATATATATATATTTTTTTCTCCTGTGTGTTCTGAGATATGCTACTCAGTTTCTTTTCTTCACATCATCCCATTTGGCTTCCTTGTGATTTCCGCTGTACTTGGCAGCCTTTAAGTGTATTTTGGAGCTTGCAGATGATGTCTGTCTCTTTACTTTGCAGAAAGCAGAATTTACCGTGTTTGCTGTAGTAGCTTCCATTCTCTTTCCACACATGTAATCCGTCTGATTCCTGTATATTCCCATCTAGCAAGGGCTATGTGGATAGTCATCATTTACCTTGTTGAAAAAGGGCATTTTGGGTGAATAAGTCATTGTCTTTGTAAAATTCTATCACATGATATTGTATGTCATGTCTGCCACAAAGGTCACATTTTCCAACTACTGGTCCTAATTAGTGATGTGTAATCCAGTGTTCTCATCCATGGAAAGAGATGATGGAGGAACTCAGGATCATCTGTTAGAACAGGGCCTGGTCCACCTTCAGGACAGACCATCACTTGCTCTTATGCAACTTCAAGGCCAAGCTAAAGAAAATTAAACCACGTCACCTGAGCCAAACTAAAACCTTGAGTATATCCACCTGAATTTAGACATCATCTCAAGAATAAATTTGATGCGTAAATTAAATTAAATGACAATTGTGGTGTGTGGATCAAAGATTACAGCCTATAGTATGGATTTCTTTATACTCAGTTTAAAGAAAACAAGCATCCTCATAACTGGACCAAAACAGCATCATGATAAATGGAGAAAAGATTGATTTCAAAAATAAGATTTCATTTTACTTGTATTCGTAGTCAGTGCCTGTGGAAGCAGAAGTCGAGAAATCAAATGGCATTACATTGCTGCAAAAGACCTCTTTAAAATGTTGAAAACAAAGATAACATTTGATGACTATGATGTGCCTTACCCCAACCCAACTCAACCAAACTCATAGTGACCCATTCATACTCATAGCGACCCCATAGCACATAGGAGAACTGCCCTGTAGGTTTCCAACACTGTAACTGTTTATGGGAGTAAAAAGCCCTGTCTTCGCCCCTCGAAGTGGCTGGTGATTTTTATCTGTTGACCCTGAGGCAAGCAGCCTGATATGTAACCACTATGCCACTAGGGGCAAGCCATGGTATTTTCAGTCACCTCTTATACATGAGGATGCTAATCAATGAGTAAAGAAGGTCGAAGAAGAGCTGATACATTTGAATTATGGCATTGGCAGAGAATCTGTTGTACAATAATTTTAAGTGGAGTGAGTACTCCTTAGAAGTGAGAATGGCAAAGCTGTGTCTCACGTACGTCAGACTTGTTACAAGAGAGACCAGTCACTGGAGAAAGACATTAAGAATGGTAAAGTATAGGGTTAGCGAAAAAGAGGAAAACTGTCAACGAGATTGATTGACACAGTGGCTGTAAGGATTGTGAGGATGACACGGGGCTCGACAGTCTTTCATTCTGTTGTTCATAAGGTTCCTATAACTCAGACCCAACTCCATGGCACTTAACAACATCAGCGTAGCACCGTGAGCCCCTGAAACGATAGAGTGCCAATTTAGCCAAGAACAATTTATGTGAAAGAGAAATTTCTAGGATGTCCCATTTTGATACCTAAATCTAGTTAATATATTGTCAATTGTGTAAGGCCCTTATGGTTTCCGGCACTGAAATCACTATGATAGAAGAAAACGCCTCTCTCTTCTTCAGAACTCCTGGTAGATCTGAACTGCTGACCTCTCAGTTAGCAGCCTGACACAGAACCTGCTACACCACCAGGGCAAATCTGTTGCACAGGACTTCTTTAAAGTCTTGAAGAGCAAGAAGGTCACCTTGAATACTTGGGTATGTTGGACCCAAACCATGGTATTTTCAATCACCCTAAATGCATGTAAAGTTGAACAATGATTAAGGCAGATTGAAGGATAATCAGTGCATTTGAATTATGTTGTTGGAGAAGAATAATGAAAATACCATAGTGTACCAGATGAACAAACAAATCAATCTTGGATAGATTTGCATACCTTGGCTCCAAGATTTAAAGTATTCTCTCGTTCATAAATGAAAATATCACCAGGTGGTCTACAAGAACCCTAACCCTTTCCTTAACAAACACCAAACACAGGGAGAGATGCTCACATTGAGTGTAAACAGAAAGAGCTCTGAGAAGGAAACACGAGTGTTTTTTTATATTTGTTTTAAATCAAGGACAAATCCCAAGATGTTTCAGGTATAAACTGCTAGATAAGAATGTAATTTCATAATGTTAGAGAAATTCAGGATTTAAAAATTTTTATTACATATAACAGTTTGTGCCCTGAAGGAGGATAGGCGCTCAGTCTAGGAAAATGATATTTCGTTCTAGCTAGACATTAAGAAGCTCTCTCAGAGGATCCTTGCCATTTAATTAGTGGGCTACCTGAGGTGTAAAAGAGGCTAGGTAGTTCAAAAATATGTCATTTATGATATAAAATAGTAATTTCTAAAAATATAAATATAAAGTATGTGATATAAATATAATTTTAAAATATTTTTTATCTAGGGAGAGGAACTGGGATCTGGCTCAATGGTGAGTGGGATATTAATATACAAGAGAGCTTAAAACAAAATATACTTAGAAGTAATCCATTATCTTTTCATTATATTTTTCCAAAAACTTTTAGAAGCCCCCTCATTATTATCTCTGTGTGCCCTTTAATGCCTTTATAATATTGTACTACACACGTAGATTGAATAATGAGAAAGTAAATCATGTGTTTCAACATATGAGCCTGGATATTCTTTCTATACATTAAGGAATACATATGTAATTTTTGTCTGTAACACTAGACAACTTTAAAAAAAAAGAC